GGAAAGCAGGGAAAGCCATAGGCAGAGGCAGAGGGAGAAGCAGGCCCCCTGTTAAGCAGGGAGCCTGCCTCAGGGCTCCATCCCAGGACGTCAGATTATGATCTGAGCCAAAGGCAGAGGCTTAACCAGCTGAGCTGAGCCACCCAGGCACCCCCGTTCACGGATTTGAAGGGAAAACCAAGGGTCATCATATATTTGAGGAAAACAGTATGAACTAGCCCAAGTTGAACAAACAGAATAGCAGACCCAAAAGGAGCAGAAAATACAAAGAATCAGATTCGACTTCTAGCACCTGCCTAGGATGTAAAAAGGTAGAAGGAACTTCATTTCCACCCTGACAACAAGAGAAAGCTGGGTAATGTACAAACTCAACTTTTCTTGAATCTAAAGAACTAAGATTACAGGTCAACCAAGGAGCCTGATATGTAAGAAAAGATGAGACAGGATATGAGGGCTGACTCACTAGTGGCAGAGCACAGGGGGAAGTTGGGCCACTGTCTAAGAAGGCGAAATAATTTAGTCATAATTTTTAACAAATTGCTAACCACTAAGTCTGCAGACTATATAGCAACTAGAAGGCAGTTCACACCTGTGTATAGTTTATTCTGTGTGAATCTACACTGGATATTCACAAGAAAGATTGGAGACAGGGTAGAAGATGTAGAAAGCCTCCCTTGGTGTGGTATAGGTCTAGAGGGATGGGAGTGGATACTGTTGTTAGAAAGCACAACTCTTCTCTAAGAACAAAAGCATTAAGCCTCTGGAGGAGGAGCTGTTAAGCCCTGCAATCCCCTGGGCATAGGTGAAGGACTGGAGGAAGAAAAAAAGAAAACATTGCCCTTAAGGGTGGGGCAGGAACCTTGTTGCACCTGGACTGTTAGAAACCTTCTATCCCTAAGGGAAGGACAACATCACCGAGAAAGCCCTACCTGATACCTAAGGACACAGGGTCTGTTTAACTCAAACAAGATGAAAGAAAAACTCTGCTCTCCTCCCCAACCAGGCTGGAGAGCCACCACAGTGTGCCATCTGAGGAGTGACTCGCTCTTGTTTCAGTGCGGGTTTACATGGAATACCCAAATCTGAGTGTGGAACAGGTTCACTGAGCAAAAGCCTCCCGCAGATCATCTCCACCACCATCGCCACCTCCAGTAAGGGGGAGTTAGAGGAAATTTGAAGAATGTGTTACACTGAAGGTAACAACAAAACAGCAACCACAAAACTCAAACACAGCCCAGTTCCTAATTGTATTGATGCAATTCCCATAACAGCAGAAGATGCATGCTCTTTCCTTGCTCTATTGTCCTGTGTTCTCTGTTGCACATGATGGTGAGTATTCAATCAAAATTTTTGAGACAGGGAAAAGCAAAAATGAAAAAAACCCATCATTATCTCTCCCCCCACCCAATACCACCAACAAAATGTTATTGAGAAGAAATTAACTCAGAAGAAGAAAAAACCTCAGCAGTGACTCAGATGTTGGGACTATCAGAGAATTTAAAATAACTACGATTAATGTGCTTTAGGCTTTTGTGGCAAGGTGGATAACAAGCATGACTAGGTAGTAAATTTCAGCTGAGAGATGTAAACTATAAAATACATAAGTCTAATGGATATGCTGTAAAGAAAGAACACAGTAACAGAGGTAGAGAAGAGTCTTTGACAGACTCTTCAGTAAATGTGGTACAACTAGGAAAAGAATACGTGAACTCGAATATAAATCAATAGAAATTACCCAAACTGAAGTGCAAAGAGACTCAGACAAAACTAAGATAATTCATTATCACCAGTCCTATATTTTACGAAATGTTAAAAGAAATTCTTGGGGCACCTGGGTGGCACAGTTGGTTAAGCTTCTGACTCAGTTTCAGCTCAGGTCATAATCTCAGGGTCATGAGATTGACCCCCAAGTCAGGCTCTGTGCTCAGTGCGCAGTCTGCTTGAGATTCTCTTTCTCCCTCTGCCCCTCCCATTCTCATTCTCTCCTTTCTCTCCCTGAAATAAATAAATATATCTTTAAAAAAAAAGAAAAAGGAAAAGAAAAAAAAATTCTTCAGCAGAAGGAAAATGATACAGACAGAAACTTGGCTCTACACACAAAAAATGAGATATCCAGAAATGGTTTAAGATATTATAAACACATTTTTTCTTATTTATAATTATGAAAGACTATTTTCTAATGCAAAAATAGCAATGTTTTGGAATTTAAAACGTGTAAAGTAAAATGTGTGAGGAATGTGAACAGTGGGAAAAGGAAGAATTGGGAGTATGGTACTTACAGTTTTTTTTATATTCTACATGAAGTAGTATTTTTTTATATTCTACATGAAGTACTACATGAAGTAGTATAAGTAGTATAATATACTACATGAAGTAGTATACTACATAAGTAGTATAAGTAGTATAATATACTACATGAAGTAGTATAAATATAATCATATTCTACATGAAGTAGTATAATAGTATTTGAAGTTGGACTTATTTATTGATGTTATATACTGTAAACTCTGGGGCAACCACTAAAAATTTAAAATGGAAGTAAGATAGCCAGTAGTGAAGAAAGAGGGAATGGTAAAAAATATTCAATCCAAAAGCATAAAAAAAGATAAAGGAGCAAAGAATAGGTGGAACATACAGAAAACAACTAGCAAAATGGTAGATTTTAAGCTAAACATCAATTATATTAAGTGTAAGCAGTCTAAATATCTCAGTTAAAACACTGAGATTGTTCAGATTTTATATTAAAAAAGACCCAACTAAATGCTATCTCTAAGAAACCCACTTTTAATATAAAGGTAGATTGATTGATTAGAGGCAAAAGAATAGGAATAGTATATCACGCAAATATGAATTAAAAGAAGGCCAAAGTGCGGTGCCTGGGTGGCTCAGTGGGTTAAGCCGCTGCCTTTGGCTCAGGTCATGATCTCAGGGTCCTGGGATCGAGTCCCGCATCGGGCTCTCTGCTCAGCAGGGAGCCTGCTTCCCTCTCTCTCTCTCTGCCTTCCTGTCTACTTGTGATCTTTGTCTGTCAAATAAATAAATAAAATCTTAAAAAAAAAGAAGAAAAGTTAAAAAAAAAAAGAAGGCCAAAGTGGCTATATTAATAATAGACAAAGATTTCAGAATGATGACTATTAACTGTGATAAAGACAGATTTTTAAAACATTGTGGTGGAGGAGTCAGTCACAAAAAGACATAATAATTCTAAATATGTATAATAGAGCTTCAGAGTATATAGATAGTAAAAACTGGTAGAACAAAGAAGAAATAGCCCAATCTATGTTTGTAGCTGGAAACCACAACACTTATCTCTCACTAGTTCATAGAACAAGTGAAGACAAAATCAGTAAGGAGAAAAGACTTTAACAACACTACTAACTAACTTGACCTGATTAAGAGTGGACCACCGTAATGCACACCAGCAGAATATACATTTTTTCATGTGTACATGGAATATTCAGTTAGGCCATAGTTGTTATTGCAAATACGAAAGAGTCAAATGATGTATAATAGGGTCTCTGACTAAAAGAAAGAAACTAGAAATCACTGGTAGATACCTGGAAAATTTCAAATATTTGATAATTGTTCAACACATACATGGGGTGGGCGGTGGAGGTTGTCAACCTGAATGTCATCTGAAATCATGGAGGGTGAATATTTGGGGAGGACCTATACTGTGGCTAAAAAAGATAAGTGGTGTTCCTTGATTATGTTCGGTTTGGGGGGCAAAGTTAACAACGTATGGATCATTTAAATACAGTTGAGAGAGGAGAGAAATATGTTGATAAAATTACTTGGGTTGGTGAATTTATGCAGAGGTCTAACTGTATTATGGTCAGTAATGTACTTCTTGTTCCTTCTTGCAGGAGATGTACAGACTAGTTGAAGGCCCCCTTTCCTATTGGATTGCGGTTTATGAAACTAATTCCCTTTGTAAGATCCAGAGATTAGTGTGTCTGGATCTAAGAATGTTTTTCTGTGCCTCAGTATTTCTGGTGTTATCAGGTCTGGATTGTCAAGGACAAAAGATGTTCTCATTTCTTAGAATAGGAAGACGTGAAAGGACTTTATGATCACATAAATGGACATGTGGGTTACAAAAGTTGATATAAATACAACAATCAGGCATATAAACAAATACAAATCTCTGTGTAGAGCTAAAGCAAACACTTAAAGGAAATTAAATGTTCTGTAATGGGATTGGGATATGGGGTATCAGTTAAAATGTGGAATATTCATATAATTCACATCCATGGAGTTGAAATTTACACAGCCATTAAACATTACAACTCAGACTATCTGTCAACATGTAAAAATGCTTATGACATAATATGGAAAAATCAGAATATACATTTCCTACACACTGTGATTGTAGCTAAAACTACTTATGTTTATGAACTAATAATAAGTAGTCAAAATGCAAGTAATTTTTCCTGTTCTACTTTTTATACTTTCAGAAATGTTGTATAGCATCTATAGGTGAAAAGAAATTAACCACTTTTTTAGAAAATCAACTTCATTTTTCAGAGCAGTTTTAGGTTCATAACAAAATTGTGCTGAAGTTGTAAAGATTTGCCATATATTGCAAACTCCCACACTTGCATAGCCTCCCCCATTAGCAACATCCCTCACCAGAAATGTCTGTTTATTACAATTGAACCTTCAGTGAATAAGCAGGAACACCGAGAGTCCACATCAACTTTCTTTTAAAACGAAGTTGTCTGAATTTTGAAATCTCATCAGGGTTTCTTGGTCAGAAATCCAGAAATCTGGAGGCAGAGACTCTAATTCTTTGATTCCTGCTAGAGGCCAGACTTGTGTCAAATTGAACAAGTTGGGAGGTTTTTTCTAGTGAACCCTCCAGAAGACCTCTATACCCAGCTTACTTTGCCTCCGAACTCTATTCCTTCACGGTCAGGGGATGGGCTCTGCCTTTTTGGTTGTTGGTAAGCAGTCCTATCTGCAGTATTACATCGGGAATTGTCTCCCTCTGTCTCTAGGAAGTGCGTTTTCAGCTGAGCACCTCAAGCTTCAACTCCAGAAGGAATCCCTGAATGAATTAAGGAAGGAGTGTACTGCGAAAAGGTAAACATGGCCCTGAGAATAATGGTTAAGAGTGTTGGGTTTGCTTTGAGGATGGGATTTGGAAAAGTAGCATTCTTTGAAAGCTGGTGGTATTAACCTATATTCCGCACACGTCGGTGCCACATTAATTTATTCAACGAATATTTATGAAGCATCTACTCAGTATTGTAGCCATTACAAGAGTTCCTAGTGTATAGTCATAATCAGAAACGTGAACATTGTTTTTCTAGTGTTGAAGGCCACAGCACCATGACTTAATGTCTGAATCTTCTCTTCCCATCTTCTACAATAGGGTAGCTTATTATCTTCAGTCATTTCTTCAGACTTACTCCTGTTTAGTGTTAGTCCATTGAGATTACTGCCACAGCTTCTAACTTATCTAACATCAGTCTTTCCAGTTCATCCTCCATGTTGCTTACCAGACCTCTCCTCTTTTTTATTTTTATTTTTTTGCGATTTTATTTAATTATTTGAGAGAGAGAGAGAGAGTACGCACATGAGCAGACGGAGAGGCAGAGGGAGAGGGAGAAGCATTGAACAGGGAGCCTGATGCGGGGCTTGATCCCAGAACCCTGGGATCATGATCTGAGCTGAAGGCAGACGCTTAACCGACTGAGCTACCCAGGCACCCCAGACCTCTCCTGTTAAAATATGACGTTAACCATAATTTTTTCTCCTCTTAAGAAGTCATGGTGATTATTTTGCTTAATTTTCAAATAACCTTCAATAAATCGGCACTATACAACTGTAGCTAATTTCAGTCCTCCACAGCATTCAGTTAACAGATGCTAATAGTTTTTCTCTTTATTTTTTTCCAGCACATGCTTAATTTGATGCCACCTCTGTTCTTTTGCTCATGTTTACTCACTTTTTCTGGAAAGCCATCTCATCCTACATTTTTCTTCAAGAAACCTTAGCAGTTGAGCATTCAAGAATGTTAGACCTGGAAAGAACCGTGGGGATCATCTGGTCTGATCTTCTCAATTTGCAGATAGGAAGGCAAGGCTTTGGGAAGTTACTTTGTCCTGATCACAAGGAAAACAGGACTAGATCCCTTTAGGTCTTTAGTACTCCTTGTGTTTCCTACTACTTTTACATTCCACTGTGACCTACAGTTTTTCTGAATCCCTCTTTTTCTTAAATCGTTAACACAGTTGAGCAGGTTAATTTATCCTATAGATGTTTTATCTCTTGGTCTTATGTCTTTAGTTCAAGGGAAGAGGTACATCTCTTGCCACAACTTACTGTTTATTCTTTTTATTCTTTTATTTTCTGAATATGGCAGCAGGCTATTTTTTGAGGTAGCTATGAGTGAGAAACCGAAGACTTCCTTAAAAGAATCAGAAATCAGATTGGCCTCAGATTAAATGAGACTCTAGTCTGCTTACTGAGTCTCTCTAAATTTTGTATGTATCCTTGTTTGTAAAATGGGTGTAATGATATCAACCTAATTGAGTTGTAATGATTAAAGCCATTTATAAAGCTCCTGACATAGAGTGTTAGGTGCTCGGTTAATGATTATTTTTACCCTTTACATCTCTTAGCATGGTGTTAGACACACACAATAGGCCTCAGTATATTTTATCTTGATTTATACTATTTAGAGACTGGTCAGGAGTCATGTTAGCTATTATTCTTGACTACTGTGTTTCTGTGGCCTACTGCAGGCCATTTAATCTTCCTCCACATCAATTATGTGGAAATAAATGTTAACGAGCATGAAAACTTTTTTTGTTGTTGTTTTTTAACAAGTTTGCTTTTTATCTTTGCTCATCAGGGAACTCTTTCTGAAGACGAATGCTCAGTTGACAATTCGTTGCAGGCAATTACTATCTGAACTTTCCTACATTTATCCTATTGATTTGGTAAGTTTCAAATTTTCTGGAAAGAAAAACATTTTTTTTAAAGATGGTTTCTGTTTAAAATGTTTTCTCAATGAAAAAACTCATTGCTCAGCATAAAACCCTCTAGTCCCATCCACCTTGTTGCAAATGGCAAGATTTCATTTCTTTTGATGGCTGCATAATATTCCATTGTATATATGTATATGACATCATCTTTAGCCATGGGGCTAGGGAAGGAAAAAATGAAACAAGATGGGATAGGGAGCGAGAAAAACCATAAGAGACTCTTAATTTCACAAAACAAACTGAGGATTGCTTGGGGGGAGGGGAGGTCTGTGGAGAGGATGGTTGGGTTATGGACATTGGGGAGGGTATGTGATATGGTGAGTGCTGTGAAGTGTGTAAGCCCGACGAATTCACAGACCTGTACCCCTGGGACAAATAATGTATTATATGTTAATAAAAATAATAAAAAAGAGGAAAAATTATTTAAAAAGGAAATACTAATAAACTCTTTGCTCCAGTCTTAATCACATGCGCTGTCATGATTCATTCAGAAGCTAATATCTATTTAAAAAGTGGGTGCATGTTAGGTTCCACCATTTGTTTTTTTGTATCAGTTTGGTGGTGGAATGCACTCAACTTCATCTGAAAGGATGCCAAATAACTTCTGGTCTCTTTAAGATCTATTTTACTCAGCTAGATTATCAACTACCATCAATTCTGACACATACATGCAGAATTGTACATGTACTGCTTTAAAAATATAACTGGTAATTAATTTGTATTAGTACTACTTAGGAAATTCCTGGGGTAATTGTCAGGATGTGAAGTTTTTGAAACTGGTTTCTTAAAGTAAATGTGAAAAATAAAACTTCACTAAAGTTAAAATGATGAGAATTCTTTTTTAAAGAGCCAGATCACTAAATTTGAAGGTTTTATTTTCTTTTTAATGAAAAATGATTTAAAAGACTAATTTTCTGAGAGGAAAGCTAATGGGATTTTAGGTTGCTCACAGAATCTTGTTAATTCCACTTAAAAATCTTCATTTATAACTATGAATTGATCAAGTGATATTTTTGTAATAAAAATTTTACATGGCTTTTTGCTTGGACATGATGTTTTAAATGTTTATATTATTGAAAATTTCAAGTATATACAAATGTACAGATAGTAGTATAATGAATTATTATATACTTGTCGCCCAGCTTCAACAATATTATCATTATGATAATGTTTTGAGTGTAGGACAGTATTGTCTTTGAGTTAACACTGACCTCCTGAATTCTTCGAGATTTGACTTAAGGTTTCTTTGCTTTACATGGAAAAAGAATTAATTTCATTCTTTGGTTATATTCACAGAATGAGCATAAGGATTACTTTGTATGTGGTGTCAAGTTGCCCAATTCTGAGGACTTCCAAGGTATTTTATTTCTTTTTGCATCTAATGATTTATATAATAACTGGGTATGTTTCAGAGAAAAATAGAGATTTCGTAAAGTGTTGGTTGCCTAGCACTTTATCCAGAGGATTTTTGGACCTTCTCTCCCTCCCCAGAAGAAAGAACATAGTCGGATTCTCTAATGGGAGACGTAAGAGAGTATTTAATTCTAATCATGGGGAAAAACTATTAAGTTGTCTATTTGAAATTTAAAGGAAAATCGTTTTAAGTGAGCTTTAAGAAAATTAGACAGTTGGTTTCTTAAAAATACGAATAATCACTCTCTCCTTTTGGTTTGATTTTCCTGAAAATTTGTCTCTGGGAGCAGGAGAATAACAAACACTAATCTGTTCTGTTGTTATTTAGAAAATCACATTTCTGGTAACATGAAACCACTACCATGGTTTCAACATTTATTATACTGTCATTTTTTTCCTCTTTCCAGGAAGAAAAAATGACGTTAAAGATATTATAGACTATGATTCTTAGTAATTGCTGTATTTAAAGTATTTTAATTTTCCTAATCTCTTTACCAGTAGGCCAAAGAAAAGAACTTATTTTATTTTATTTGACATAATGGTAAAGAGGTTTTTGTTTTTTTTTAATTGTTAGCAGAGTGGGTTCTTTTCCCTTAGCCTATACAGTGCTTTGAGGCCTACTAAATAGCTTCATGGATTATTCCCAAAGGTGGTGTATTATCTATTTGGGAAGAAGTTATTTAAAAAGGGTATTACTAGTTTTGTTTCAGACTTTCTTCCATTTCCCAATAAGGAAAATGTTATTTATGGTCATTTAACATTTGAGGCTAACTTGTTACCTCCTTTGGCCTTTACAACAGCCCTTACAAGAAGTAGTTGGGACATAATATGAGTGATAAAACAGGAATGGGAAAACCTATGTTAAAGTCCTGGTTCTCTTTCTAGAAACCATGTAGTTTGGAACAAGCCATCCATACTTTGAGTTGATTTCCTAATCAATAGTATGAACATATTGATTCATGTCCTTACCAGTTCTGCATTATTGTTGTGCAGATTAGATCTGTAAAAGCATGACATTTGCCTAATCTTTAATCCTTACAAAAACAAAGGAAACCTATAAGGAAAGTGGTATAATTTCATATTACAACGTATAAATGAGCTATTTAGTGACTTGCTCAAGACCACAAAGCTAGGTAATGATCTAGCTGGAATTTGTTTGGTTTCCATTATAAAATATTCCAATCTCTTTAAGTCATACAAATGTGCTTTGGTGTTAATTTTGGGCAAAGTTAGGACGTCCTGAAGGTCATAGCACATCTTTTTCCTAATTTCTTCATTCAACGAACCTTATTAAATACCTTGAGCCCTGTTCCAGGGATACAAAGCATTCATTCATTGGAAAATATTAATTGAGCACACCGATATGCCAGGCACTGTGCCGGGTTTTGAGGATATAATAATAGAAAACACAAATACGTTCTCTTCCTTTCATAGAGAATAATATCTATTAAGAGAGACAGCCAATAAATAAGAAAGAATATGCTATCAGAGACAATAGGGGAACCTACTTTAGATAAAGCAGTCAAGGAGACCTGAGGGGAAACATTTGGCAGAAAAGTTGAAGGTTGGAAGAATCTAACTCTGCTGCATTTGGGGGAGGAGCTTTCCTAGAAGAGGGTGCAGCAAGCACGAAGTTCATGATGGAGGAATAGGCTTGACATATCTGAAAACAATTTAGGGCTGGGGGGTATGAGAGAAAAGACCTATATTTTGGGCAAATCATGGACTCTCTCGGCTGAAATTTTTCACCGTAAAATGAGGTAATATCCACATCTCTAATTTATTATGAGAACTGAATGAGATAATATTTGAAAGTACTTTTCATATAAGATATTTATATAAATGTAGTTGGAATTAGTTGCAAGAGAGAGGAGGTAAAGGAAGGAAAGTAGGAGGGAAAGAAGGAAGGACAGAAAAGACCAGACCTGTATGATTGGAGAGTAGAGTGTAGGGGGAAGAGTTACCTCAGAGGACATAGGAGGGGTCAGTCAGGGCCTTGAGGCTACTGTAAGGAGTTTATGTTTTATTCTCAGTGGAGGGGGGAGACCTTGAAGGGCTTCAAGAAGGGGATGACATGAGCTGATTTGTGTTTTTAGAAGTCACTCTTCCTATTAAATACAGAATAATCTGCAGAGAGGCAGTAAGGGAAGCCAGTATATCTGTATTGGTGATGGTCACCTTACTTCACTCTGAGATGTTTCTTGATTCTATTTTTGTTTTATGTGAATTGTTTTGTTTCCCAGTTTTTCGTAGCTTTCATTAGCTCTCTGTTCTTAGTATGTCCACCAAACCGAATATATTTTTCCTACCCTTTAAAAAATTAGCTTAGCTTTTTAGTGCAGTTGCTGAAAAATGAAATGAGAGATGAAATGAAACAAATGGGCCATTTTACTCTAAGGCCCCAGTCAACCCCTATGAGGCCCAGCAATCAGAAATTTTAAGGAGCACATGTGGTGGTGTTAGACTTTAAAATCTCATTTTAGCATTCTGCAAGGCACTTCCATATACTCAACTCACTGAGTGCCTTGTGGGTGTTACGTGTGGGGCCAGGAGAGAACTGAGAGAACGCAAAGAGGTGTAGGGCGTCGCTCCTTCCTCAGTGAGGTTTCAGTCCGGGTGAGGCCCTTAAGCTTGTAATCAAAGCCTTTGAGACACATTTATTGGTTTCATACTCTGTGTCAGGCACTTTGAAGTTTATAATGGGGACACAAGATTCAAAGAAGTGGATATAATCAGTACCACCAGAAGGGGAGCAGGAAAACCTTTACAGAGAAGATGGTGCCTGAGGTGTCTTTTTTTTTTTTTTTTAAGATTTTGTTTATTTATTTGACAGAGAGAGAGATCACAAGTAGGCAGGCAGAGAGAGAGAGGGAAGCAGGCTCCCTGCCGAGCAGAGAGCCCAATGTGGGGCTTGATCCCAGGACCCTGGGATCATGACCTGAGCCGAAGGCAGCGGTTTAACCCACTGAGCCACCCAGGTGCCCCGTGCCTGAGGTGTCTTAAAAGACAAAATAGTATTCCCCTGTTGGAAGAAGAGGAAGAGGACATTTTAGATTGGGCGAGTAGAGAAATGTGGTAACATGGAACATCGTGCATGGTGCTTCTTGTTTATTTAATTCTCACAACTGTGAGAATGAATTCTTTCTGTGAGAGAAAGAATTATATTCCATTTTCTTAAGGCAAGAAAATTGAAGCTCAGAGAGATTAATTAATTTTTCCAAAGACTCATACTAGCCAGTGGCAGAGCTAAAGTCATTTCTGGTCAGCTTTCTGGTCACCCTGATTTTAAGATTCATATTATTCCTGTCATGATGCAGTTTGTGTCCTTATTTTGAATAAAACCTCTTCCAAACTTCTGACAACTTTTTAGTGTTTTGTAACAGCTGCATTCTTGGTCCTTCTCTAGTGAGGACCTCCACACTGGTTATTTTGTGATATTCACGAGATTTTGCTGGGACAGACTTTCCATTGCTTGGGTTGACACTGTCTGGGAAACTCTACCGTAGTCGCCCAACCTTTATTGTGCTTTTTTAAATGGGTAAGTTACTGGTAGAGTTTGCCAAAGAGACCTGGACACGATGGGAGAAAGTTGTCTGCTGAAGGGTGTTCGTTTGAGTTCCATTGACTGAGACATTTCTCATAAAAAAAATTGTTTGTGTGTGTTTTTAAGTAATCCATAACACGAGAGCCTTTTGTGGTAATGAGACCCAGATTTCCTTCTGTGTCTGTATCCCTTTATGCAGGCATGATTTCTTGGAAAGGAGAGACCATATGTCAAACAGTGTCTCATTGAGAACATGGAATGATTCCATAGATGCTGTGGCAGTGATTAGAATCTTAAATATTTTGTCCTGTCTGGATCAGTGGGTGCTTGGTTCCTTAACAAATCAGCTGCCTCAGTGATTGGGAAGGCAGGATGGTAAGAGCCTTTAGATCACTTATTGTACTTGGATGCATTTGAATATTAATAGTTTGTCCAACATATAAGTCAAAGGGGCATTTGAATTAATTTTTAAATATTGTCATGGCCGTTGTGGGTTGATGGTATTTATTATCATAAAAATTACACAAAAGCTGCTGCTCTCAATAACTCTCCTACATTTAAAAAGCAAATCAGAAATTATTATTAGGAGGAAACTGCAGATTTTTGTTTTGTTTTTAAGCCTCCGAAAACACTGCTTAAATTAGAATCTTTTTCACACACCTGAGTCTTACAGTTTATTCCTATTCCTCCCTGAATCCTTCCACTCTCCCCAACTTCTTCTCACCAACAAACCTATCATCTATAACCTTTCTCACCCCCAGAGCAGCATAAGGAACACAAACCTCTGCTCTGCATTAGGTGTTAGGGACGTCATTAATGCTTACTGGAAAAGCACACCCCAGAGAGCCAGGTTTTGGCTTTGGCAGGTAGAAAGTCTTTTAGATCTTGGAATGCTGGAAACCTTAAACCTTTTGGTTTTTTAGCTGAAGTGATTGGCAACAGAAAGTGACATCTGAGGTTCGTGGCCAGCAATAGCCATAATTAACCACATGAGCTCACATTTTCCCACTGGAGGTTCAGTGGTCTTGGGGTGATGAAAGTGACTTCCCTACTAGGAGGTGGTTTTCCTTTTGAGGGTATTGGAATACCCTTGGGCCCTGTAATGCCTCACCCGTGGTCCTTTAAAATGCTTTTTAATATAAAGCTTCAATATTGGAAATCTAACACCATGGTGTTTAACAGTGAGGCTGTGCCTGAGCACTGTGGCCTGGAATGGGAAACAACCTGGGGCTTTTAATAGGTGGAGCAGGGAGTCTTGTGGAAACAATGGTGAGTGCAAATAACCAGAATCAAAACTGATTTCCAGTATTATCCAGTTTCCAGGTTTTGCTGTTTCTGTTTGGATTTTTATTTCCATGTGTAGGCTTCTCTTAGAGGTGCCTTTTTATCTTAAAGTTAAGCAAAATTGTTTGGGTCATTGAAGAGAGGTGATGTTAGAAGACTAGTTTTTGTTCTTTTAGTAGATATGTGGACATGGTCTCAAGATTTGCAAACTCACTTCCTTAGTATTACACTTTTAGAAATATGGAAAAATGTAGGTGCTTACATGTTTAGCATTGGATAGGGTTTTTTAAGCACTCATAGTTTGCATTTGACCTGTTTGGAAGGCTAATTAAGAGGCCTTCTCCTGCTTTCCAGAAGTTTGCAAATTCTTTTCTGTCTGGCCATATAGGAAAGGAAAAGCTTAGTGTGAAGCATATATAGGAAAGTACAAACTTAGTGCAGCATTATCCTTCATTACTGTAAATCGTCTACTTCTTCTTCTCCTCTCCCTTCTAAAAGAAGGTTCTTAGAGACCAAGTCCTTTTACTGATAGAAATATTTCAAATTCCATAAGCCCTATCCTTTATGGAAAGCAGGAGACGCAGGAGTCAGTGACCTGTGATGGAACTCCTGTCCCGGCTCTGACTCCAGGGATAGAGGTATTTTGGAGGGCACAGGTGTATATATAATCCTCTGTCTTATTCCATCACTCGTGGATTTTACCTGTATGGTTCTGAGCAAGTCACTTATACCACCTAAATCATTTGTCTCATCTCCAAATTGATAGCATCAGACTCAGTGATTTCTAAGGTTTCTCCTAGCTCTAACATTATATATGATGATGAAACTGTAATGAATTTACAGTGTAGTGTAATATAATTTCAGTCTCTAAGGTGGTGTGATATACAGACTTCAAAAGAAGTAAAGCATTATATTACTCAAGGTACTTGGGTGGGACTGGGGCAAGAGGACATGGTCTCTAAGAACGATTAGGATTCTTGTCAGTTGGGCATGACTGAATAGTCAGTTGAAATGAATGCTGTTTCTTCCTTCCTTCCTTCCTTCTTTCCTTCCTATCGGTTTGGTTTGAGAGAACATCAAACATTAGTGTGAGAAGCCCATTCTCAGTCTAGCACAGTACAAGTCACTGGGAACTCTGTGTTCTTTGCCCTTACAAGAAAAGTGTGAAGGAACTGAGGTAGCATGTGTGTGTCATCTGCTTGGTACAGTCTAGGTTCCCATGTTAAGAAACTGTTATGTGTTCCACACTAAACTTCTGAGAGAGTATGGTCAAGTGCTTAAGAGATGGAGGTGTTGTTGTCAGGCCAACTTCTATTGTAGTTCTGGAGTACTTGAGACAGATCCTTAACTTCTTTGACCCTTAGTTTCTTCATCTATGAAATGAACAAATAGCATATAAGAAGGTGCCCAGTTTAGTAATTGTTGATGAGTTAATGACTGTCATAAAGTACTATAGTCAGTTCTAGGCAGAAGAGAAGTACACAATGAAAGTTACCTGTTTTTATAGTGTTTGATTGTACTATAAAGAAACCAAGAATCTGCCATGATGGTCAGTGGTGGAGAACAAACCGGTGAATAGATCACGTAGGGCCGTTCCTACAACAAGAAGGTAGTCCTTAGATAATAAGTGTAAGTATTAAAAAGAATTTGAAAAACATTTCTAGTAATTGAAGTTTAGGTACCCTTAGAAATCAGGAAACACTCAAGCCAAAGATATCTCAATTATTTCCGCTTTTCTCTAGCCAGAGATAGTCTAGATTATGTGTTAAATCTTTCAAAAGTATTTTGGGAATACTGCATACCAAACAGTTACCTTTTTGTTCCTCCTGGGGCAGGCTTAAAATGTTTTGTTATATTACTCTGTTCTGAGTACCTGGTGATTGTTATCACTTGGTAGGTAGTAGCAGAAATCTAGATGATGAGTTTAAAATGTAATTATCTGTGACTTCTTAAAAGATAAATGCTTATGTTTGACTGTAGGGCACATACATTTTTTTCCCCAAAGTTGCTTCCACCTAAATTGCATAAATAGGATATATAGTAACTGTGGTTTTTGACATTTTACTTTTACTGTTTAAAATATTTTTCCTCCCTATCCTGTTTCAAATTTTGCAGTCTTATTTATGCAACACTATTTTTATGGATATTGAGAACATACCCCATAAGGATACATCATGCTTTTTTACTTCACCTTAGACTTAATTTGTACAATTGTACAACTATATTGATTATAAAGTTGTTAGTGAATAAAATATATAGTAGTCATATAATGCATTATGATTAAACCTCTGAAACTAATGTTCACATCATATGATAGACTAGGTAGTATTTCTGCCTTTTAAAAAAAAAAATGCCAGGAAGGAGAGAAAGTACTGGGTATTTGAGAATACTAAGAACTCTTTCTTAAGATATATATATGGAATGTTAATCTCATCACAGCAATTACTGAGCAATAGTTTTTAAATATAGTAGATGAAATTTCAGGTCTTGTTAGTATGTTTAGATTTGTATAAAGTTCATGTAATTTAGATGTGATTAATATTTTATTTACCAGTTATTTCTTATAAAATCTCTTGAAATTGATTTACTATGATCTTGTAGCTACATTTATAAGGTAAATAGTTGTTTTCTCTTTCTCTGCTTTTGAATTTACAGCAAAAGATGATGGAAGCATTGCTGTTGCCCTTGGTTACACAGCACATTTGGTCTCCATGATTTCCTTTTTCTTACAAGTGCCCCTAAGATATCCTATAATTCATAAGGGATCTAGATCAACAATCAAAGATAATATCAATGATAAGCTGACTGAAAAGGAGAGAGAGTAAGTATCTTTTTTTAATGTACTTTTAACATAAGCCACCTTGAAACATGGAGTATGTTAAAAATATGAAATGTGACCTAGACTGTGCTGATTTTTCATATATCCTTTGTGAAGTGCTCCATTTATTTTAAGTAGAATGTGATTATTAATTTAGGTTATAATAAATAAAATCTTACATTTCCTAAAATTGTTAATGATAGCAGGGTTAACTCATTTAATTTGGTTTTGTGAGAAACAAGTAGTATATACTCCGCAGATATTCATGTAGTACCTATTTCCTGCCAGTCCCAAGTGAAATGATTAAATATTTGTCAGACAAGCAAGAAGAGCATAAAAGATAGAGCAGCAGGTTGTACATGTCTGAAAAGTAGATTAGTGAACTGGAAAAGAGGTCAGCAGAAAATATATTGATTGAAGGCATAAAGAACACAAGAGATGGATTATATAGAAAAGTGCTAGACTTATGTAGGACCCAATAAAAATGTCTAAGATATGTATAATTGGGATCACAAGGAGGGAGAAGAAAATACATAGGGTAAATGCATTATTTTAAGAGGTAGTGACAGAATTTTTCAAATTTGATGAAACACATTAAGCGACAAATTCTAGAAGCATTAAATACAACCCATTATAAGTATAAAGCAAACATACTTAGGGGAATTACAGTAAAATAGCTGAAAACCAAAGATGAAGTGGAAATATTAAAAGTGCCTAGAAGAAAAAGACAGATTAACATCAAAGAGCATTAATTACACTGAAAGCTAATTTCCCAATAGAATCTTTAGGAACCATAAAGATGATGCCATGATATTTTGAAAGTACTATAAAACAGGTATGCCTGGGTGGTGCAGTCAGTTAAGCATCCAGCTTTTGGTTTCGGCTCAGGTTCTGATCTCAGGGTCATGAGATGGAGCCCAGTGTCAAGCTCCATGCTCAGTGCAGAGTCTGCTTGGGTTTCTCTCTCCTACTCCCTCTGCTACTTCCCACTCCCCCTTAAATAAATAAATCTTTTTTTTTTTAAAGTGCTATAAAACAGTACTGTCAACTTAGAATTCTATACTCAGTAAATATATCCTTCAAATTAAAGGCAAAATAAAAGACATTTCAGACCATCAAAACTGAGAAGGTGCATCCCAGCAGACCTATACTAAGGGAAATACTAAACGCAGAATAAAAATAAACATAGCACAGAAACATGGAAATATTTGAGGAAGGAAAAAAGACAATAGAAAGGGTAAGTATGTGCAATGCTTGGGTGGCTCAGTCAGTTAAGCATCTGCCTTTGACTCAGGTTATGATGCCAGGGTCCTGGTATCAAGTCCCACTTTGGGCTCCTTGCTCAGTGGGGAGCCTGCTTCTCCCTCTGCCTGCCACTCCTCCTGCTTGTGCACTCTCTCTGTCTGACAAATAAACAAGATCTTAAAAAAAAAAAAAGGCATAAGTATGAGTATATCTAAATTAATTTTGACTACAAAACAAATGATAGGGTCATAAAATATGAAATACATACACATAATACATATGTGGAATTATAATCCATGACTAACACAAAAGTTGCAAAGTGGAAATGGAGTTAAAGTAGTCCAAGATCCTGGCATTGTCTGGAAAAGGGTAAAGATACCGCTTTATAGTAAACTACTAATCAATTATGTCATAATCTCATAACTATTAAAAGAATTGTTGGGTATAAGCAAAAAATTTATAGATGATATAAATAGAAAAAATTTTTGAATACTTTATTAATCCAAAACAAGGCAAGAAAAGAAAGGAAAATGAACATTAAATAAGTGGTACAAATAGTGAATTTGTACTTTATGAACTCAGACGTGTTCTTGAGTTACATTAAATATAAATGTCATTAATATACTATTTAAAAATAAGGATTGTCAGGCTGAATAAAAAACTATACTTAGGGGCGCCTGGGTGGCTCAGTGGGTTGAAGCCTCTGCTTTCAGCTCAGGTCATGATCCCAGGGTCCTGGGTTTGAGCCCCGCATCGGTCTAACTGCTCGGCAGGGAGCCTGCTTCCCCTCCTCTCTCTCTGCCTGCCCTTCTGCCTACTTGTGATCTCTGTCTGTCAAATAAAGAAATAAAATCTTAAAAAAAAAAAAATTTTTTTTTTACTAATTATTAGAAAAAGCAGATAAAACAATCAGAACCTAAAAGACTTGAGCAGTGCAATGAACTAGACCTGAGTTATGGGTAAAGAATATTACACCAATGGCTATAGAATGTACATTCTTTTTCTTTTATTATTATAATGTTCAGATAGCCAAACATATATATAGTACATCATTCGGTTTTGATGTAATGTTCAACAATTCATTAGTTGCATGTAACAACAAGTACATTCTTTTTTAAGTATTCATGTGACATTTACCAAAATTGATTATGCTGGGCCTCAACAAATTTCAAGAGATTGAAGTAATTTACAGTATGTTTACTGACCATGGTGGAAATTAATAGAGATCAATAATAAAATCCCCAAACGTGTAGGTATTAAACAATGTACTTCTATAAAACCTACAGGCCAAAGAAGGAACTATATAAAGGAAGTTTGAAATTGTTTTAAACTAAATGATAAGAGAATATATCATATAAAAGCTTGTAAGTTAAAGCTAAATCTGTTCCTAGAAGGAAATTTATTTCCTTAAAAGTGTGCATTAGGGAAAAAGAAATATTTAGAAATCATTCATCTAAGTCTCCTTTTGAAATCCCCAGAGAAGGAAGAGTTCATTAAACACTAAGAAGTTAGAAGGAAGGAAAGAAGGGTAAGAACAGAAATTAGATGGACAACTGAACAATGGAAAAAAAATACAGGCAAAACGTCTAGCCTTTGGGACGCCTGGGTGGCTCCCTTGGTTAAGTGTCTGCCTTTGGCTCAGGTCATGATCCCAGGGTCCTGGGATCGAGTCCTGCATCAGTTCCTTGCTTGGCAGGGATCCTGCTTCTCCCTCTGCCTGCCTCTCTCCCTGCTTGTGCGCTCTCTTCCTCTCTCTCTGGCATATAAATAAGTAAAATCTTTATTTAAAAAAAAAAAAAAAGTTCTAGTCTTTGAAACAACTGGAAAATGGATAAACCCTTAGAAAGAGGAGACAGGCAAAACAGCTAGTATAAGTAAAGGGGGGAAAAGATGTCACTACAGATATATAGACATTAAAAGGTAAGATCTTAGGAACAACATTATGCCTATCAATTTGAAATTCAATGCAATTGGCTACATTTCTAGAAAAAGACAACTTTCCAAAACTGTTATGTGAATGATGGAGTTTAGAAAACACTACACTTGGCTAAAGGGAAGTGGATATAGATGATTCTAGGTCAGTTATTCTCAACACTGGCTGAGCATTATTGTCATCTGGGGAGCCTTTAAAAATGAGCTTCTGACCCCCAGATTCCTGGCTTCTTCCCCAGAAATTCTGATTCAGTTAACAGGGCCCAGACATGAGGGTTTTTTGTTTTTTGTTTTTTGTTTTTTTTAAAAAGCTCCTGAAGTGATTTTAATGTGCAGTTGGGGTGAGAACTGCTGTTCTAGATTGAGAGACTATTGTATTCATAGTAATGAAAAAAATGAAATATCCTCCAGTATATTTAGGAAACTGCAAGAGTAGAGGCAGGAAAGGTAGGCACCAAATGGAAGAATTTAGTGCTGTATCTGGTAGGACAGTGACCCTTGGCTTATAGATAGAGGGCAGGGAACATGTGTTTAGTTTAAGTCAGTACCTTTTAAATCCACTGATTAATAGATAGAGGGCAGGGAACATGTGTTTAGTTTAAGTCAGTACCTTTTAAATCCACTGATTAGTTGATAGCTGAAGTATTTTTTTTCAGTTTCAGAAACATAAAGAGATCCTGAAACATACATGTATTACAGAAGGGGACATTGGTGTGTTTTCTTTTCTCTTTCTAAAAAATGGATGTGAAATTCACATAAGATTAACTTTTTTAAAGTGTATAATTCAGTGCATTTAATATGTTTGCAGTGTTGTGCAACCACCACCTCTGTCTGGTTCCAAAACAATTCATGACCCCAAAAGAAAACCCTGTACTCTTAAGCAGTCACTCCCTATTCTTCCCCCACCCAGTGCCCCCTTCCCCCAACCCCTGGTAGTGACCCATCTGCTTTCTGTCTGTGTAGCTTTATCTATTCTGGATATTCCATATAAATGGAATCATATAATATATGACCTTTTGTTTAAGGGTTCTTTCACTTAGCTTGTGTTTTCAGGGTATCCATGTTGTAGCAGAATCAGTACTTAGTTCACATTTACGGCCAAATAATATTCCATTGAATGTAATACACATTTTGTTCATCCATTTATCTGTTGACAAACATTTGGGTTATAGCCACCTTTGGCAGTTGTGACTAGTGCTGTATGGGCATTCATGTACACGTATGTGAGTATCCACTTTCAGTTCTTTTGAATATATATCTTGGAGTAGAATTGCTGGGTCATATGGTAATTCTATGTTTAACTCTTTGAGGAGCCTCCAAATTGTTTTCCACAGCAGCCACACCAGTTTACATTTCCGGTGTGAAGTAGTATATCATTGTAATTTTCATTTGTATTTCCTTAATGACTAATGATGTTAAGCATCTTTTCATGTCCTTGCTGCCATTTGTTTATTTTCTTTGGAGAAATATCTGTCCAAGTCTTCTGCCTGGTTTTCAATTGGATCATTCTTTTTTTTTTTTTTTTTAATTGAACAGTAAGACTTCTTTATGTATTCTGGATACTAGATCCTTATCATTACATCATTTGTAAGTATTTTCTTCCCATTCTCTGGGTGGTTGTTAGAGTTTAAGGCCTAAAACTAAGGTATGTATTATATGCTGCCTTGACGCCTGGTGAAACCTGGAAGGCCTAGAATATCCCCTCCCTTTGCTGCTCCTGTGGATAAAGGTCCCTTATCTAAACAAGACTCTTCCTTATTCAGGGACATAGGTGTAGTTTCTTCTAATTCCTCAGTGGTAAATTTCAGTTCCTTGCCAGTTGGGGA